TAAAGTTTGCAGACAAACAGACAGACAGACAGAACAAAAACAATATACACCTCGGATCTTTCGATCTGGACGCATAAACATTTTTCTCGAATGATATAATAATTACATATATATTCTCTCAAATATTAAACTCTAAGTCAAGATATTTTGTTTTATACATATTTTTCCAAAGTGCTTTACATGTCCACATGGTAAAAATGATGTACACTCTTAACGCACTTTTAAAATTTTTTTGCGTCGATTTTGTCCAAATTTTAAGGCACTTTTACAAAAATTTTTCAAAGTGCGTTGCCACAGTGCGTTCAATTGTTTAAGTCTACTCACCACAACTGCACGGACTGACACTATACGGTGTGTATGTCTTACTTTTGGAAATGTGTACTCTAAATTTTCTGGATTATAGTTTTAATATTTTTTCATTTATGCACAAGAAGATTTCCACTTTTCCTAAGTGTAAAGAAAAAATTAAAATTTGTGAAAGTGCAAGGATGTGTCAATCAAACCCGCGTAAAAAAATCAAGTATTAATAACTTTTGAATGAAATAAGATTTTTAATTTATTTTTATGTGAAATGCTATAAAATATACAGGTCGTAATATTTCACAGGAAATATTAACTTCAAATCTGTGTCCAAGTACCTTTAAAACCAAAAACAGCAAGTACTTCGATATGAGATTTAGACTTGAGATATTGTGTGATTTTGGTGACTCTCATTCAAGTTCTTTACAGTCCGGATTAGATTTTCGTCGATAATCTTCTTCCCGTCCTCTCGTACAGCCTATTTAAAGAGGTCTAATGGTCTAGAATTCCAATTTACTATTTGTAAACAAATGTCACGAATACCCTATTTTACTTCATATTTTATTATGCATATTTTGGATTTATGTTGACCTTTTTACGAGCATCACACATAATTTAACAAAAGTGTGGTGCTCCGTCAATTCAGGAGACGTCATTTTCACAGTCAATTTCACAAAAATTGCATCGGAGAAAAATCAGTTTATTTTTTGTAGTACTTTAAATATCATGTCTAAATATAAAAAATCTTAATACATAGTGATAAAACAAAACAAACATACATTTGAGAAAACTGTCGAAAAATATCGCGAATTATTGAAAATTAACGAGTTTAAATTTTGGATACCGCATGTTTGTGTTTCAAATTCTTTATCGTGCTCCGTACCTCTCCAGTTCAGAGATATCATCACAGCGATAATGTTTGGAGAATTTTTTTTTAATACAGAAATTTTGGTACAAATTTTTTGGAATCTTTAAGATACATATTTCTGTGAAATTTCATAATTATATGACGTCTGTAAGAGTAAATAATAGCAGAGTTCGCGTAATTTTTGAACGGTCCTAACATTGTTGCCTTGTCAATTTTATTGTGATATGAATTTTCCGGACACTGTGCTATTTCTTTTCATTTTTGGATACAGTATCAGACCTGCAAAATTCACAGGAATATAATGTATACTTTCCAACATATCGGATTTTAAACAATGTGCGTTCATGGTTGTCGCCGCACCTAAATATAACGTCATATGACAGATACGCGCCGTCATACTTTAAAGAGTTTCCAGTTCGTTTCATTAAAAAAAATATATTTGTGATTCGCAAGCACTTTCACCAATTTCACTTTCTTTAAGAATTCTTGGTAACACTATAGACTCACTCTTTTCATAATTAAGCCCTCTGTCAAAATTTTATATAGTAGAATAAGGCAAATTAAAAATTCAAATCACATGTTACTCTATACGTCTGTCTTTTTTGACAACGTCAGGGACCATTGAACGTTTCCGTCCAATCTCCTATCTTATGGTTTTCTTGTCCTCAGCTGATCATTCAATGATTCATCACCCGCTCAAAATTCCTGGAAACATCTATAAAGAAATTTCTTTATTCTGTGAGTCTGATTGATTACGGTTTCGTCAAAGGTCAACCTGTCCAAAAATTTATTTTTACAATAGCCCCAAAACTATGTAAGGTATAAAGTTAAAACTTTTACAGTTTATAAATTTGTAATTGATTAACAGATTGAAAGTATCACTTGATAAAAAAATACTTGGAATAATATTAATTGAGAAAAATTCTTCTTAAAAATGCATATATTTTCAAATAATACATCTAATTAATTCTGTGCTTTAAGTGAAAACCATCATCGCAGAAACAAAATATGTTTATAAATGAAGGGCAAGTTGGACATCGATAACTCTGGAAAGTTGTTTTCCCTATTTATTTTGTCCAAATGTTAAGACTTGAAAGTAAAAGTACACTGCAAATGGCGGATTCTATAGGGGTCTTGTCTTTGTACATGTAATGCTTTCAATTACAGCCTTTCAAAGACTATTCATGTCCAGCTTGCCCTCATTGATAAACATAATATATTATTTCTACAATATTGGTTTTCACGAAAAGGACAGAATTAAGCCGGTGCATTTTTCTTTAAATATGCACATTTTCTGTTGCAATTTTTCTCAAAAAATTGTTATCAAGTGATACTTTCTATCTATTAATCAGTGATATATTTAAAAACTGTAAACGTTTTGACTCTATACCACACATAGTTTTTGAGCAATTGTAAAAATAATTTTGTAGACATGTTGACCTTTGACGAAACCTTAACGTAACTGTCGCTAGTGATGATTCCCATATTTTGAAGCAAAAATGCATTACAACTATTGTTGGCAAGTCGGACGATTTTTAGTAACCGGTTACTCGCTTCATCTTCCGATCGAGTACCCGGTTACTCGGATGATTTTTGATAAAGTATTAATATCTATTATTTAACTTATTCTATACTTATCGGTAGTAGTATTGCACAAATATACTGTATAGGGACATTATATTTACAATACACAGACACGATATTGTCAAAGATTTACGACTTTAAAATAAAGAAAATTAATAGGGAATTCGGCACACAAAGAAGACAAATAAATACGTCATCGTCAATCACCATTTTACACTTTCTTTTTCAGCTCCAAAAATATGTCGCAATCAAAGAGAATAATTATTTACATACTCCATAATTAATAATTAATATGTGGAGTGTCCAGTAAAACGCTGGTTTCTGAATAATTTAAGCTTAGATGATTTAACAGATTTTGAATCAGCTGTTCTTTTGTTACAACTCCAAGCTTATTATGTCTGAGGCGGCATCTCGTTAAATTATCAAAGGAGGTAATTATAACTCAGGTCTTCAAAATATGTATACCCCAAGCAATCAAAGCTATCAATTATATAAACTGTGAAAACTAATCAAAACAATTTGATTCACTACAACCATGCACTAGATCAAGTCTAACGGTACCTAAAATTAGGGAAATGTGTAAGTTAGTATGCATCTATAAATGATAAAACATTCATTTTCTAGGCCTTTACTATGTAGAATTTATTTTACCCGAGTAACCGAATAGCAGTTTTACTAACCGATACTCGCAACGTTCGACGGTTAACCGGTTAACCGGGTACTCGTCGCCAACACTAATTACAACTCGACGCGCCGTTTTTTTTTTTTTTTAATTTCGACAATCCCTTTGTTCAATTCAACAGAGTAAAACAACAATATTTTTGATCACAAATACAAATGCCATCTTTTAATTTTCAATTAAAGACTAGATAATGACTTGAATTGTGTATTTAAAAAAAGAGAGATATTAGATTAGGTGCCTTTTTTGAAATCTTTTTAATGTGTTTGTCTTTTCTATTCTACGAAAAAATACACTTTAAAACGTGACGTTCCGTTGTGACGCGGCGACACCCCTATACTTTTTGTTGTAAACATCTATAAAATAAATTCAAATAAACATTTTTAACATGATTAAGGTAGTCCGATCCTCAGGTCTATAGAATTAGCAGTGGAGTAATCAAAAATACTGAGTCTTATAAAATGAATGCACAAAGTTATGTAAATTTATCAATAGTATTTCTCTTAAGCTAAAGATAAAGTTAATCATATTCCATAGGAAAAAATGTCAAATCTTCAATATTTTTGCAAAAAAGCGAATTGGAATATCAGCAATACATTTTCTAATTGCAAATTGATCAATAAATATTTTTTAGAATAAACAATGATCAGTATCCAGGCATTCAGGGAATTTTTCATGATTTTTATAGTTATTTGGTATTTTTGCCTTCTATTTCCGTCATGTATGCTACAATACATAGTGTATAAGGCTTTTGCTATCATTGCAAGGCACCACAAATCACTTTTTATTTCATTTCATGGTAATAAGCTTTAGTATCTAAGGCTGGATTAAAAAAAATCTTATTTCTCTAAAATTGTAGTAATTATTTTTTCCTTTTATAGGGTACAAATATAAACTTTTGAAAGACCTTTTCTAAGACTTTCAAAAACCTTGAATCTTATAAAGATGAATAAAATGAAAATTGTTGCATGAAAAAAATTTCATTTTTAAGCTTCATTTTGATGCATTTCAAATTAAATATTAATTTTAGGAGTTATCCTTCCTGGCTGAGGACCGTTCACGTTAGCTTAGTCGGTAGAGCGCTCGCTCCGGAAGGTCGTGAGTTCGTATCTCGGCCGCGACTGACCTAGTCGTTAAAATGGGTAGCCACCGTTCCTTCACCATGCGCTCGGCACTTTGAAGAAGAAGTTGCAGGTCCTTCGGTTGAGACCTTAAAAACCGAGGTCCCTGTCAGCGACAGGCGTTGGTATGATAAAGATCTCACACTGCTCAATGGCCCTGAGTGCCAAGTAAAGGTCAAAATTTGAAGCCCTTTACCGGCATACGGTGACGTCTCCATATGAGTTAAAATTCTCGAGAGGGACGTTAAACAATATACAATCAATACAATGTTAATTAGATTTGTATTTGTGCATCTTTTGGTATATTGTATTTGATATTATAATGCCAAATATAAAAGATTTGGACAATGTGACATTAATTTCGGATCAACCCTCGTACATGTATAGCATAACTCCTATTAACACTTTTTTTATTTTCATATCTTAATACTTTCATTTCGCTTTATAGGGTTTTCTAAGAACAATTTGCCAAGGTTTGATAACGGAGAGATAGAACAAGTCAGTGAACACAATTTTCGAACTTCGGTGTTAAAGATTGGAGCCAAAAGTGGATTAACAATTGGTTCTTTGAAAATCGGAAGAAGTTGTGCAAGGATACATGATTATGACGTACAAGTAGGGAACAGATTCTCTACAACACTTTTCAAACAAATGGAGGTAATTCCTCATTGCGATCTGTCTCAGCCGTCCGATTCAAGGGAACCCTTTCTAGATTACGGAGATTCTGGGTCTTTCGTTTATTTTATATCTCATCAACGCCCTGTTATTCTTAAGTGTATCGGTTTAGCTGTTGCTAAAACGTCCCATGGAACTTGCTTGGTAACACCCATAGACAAAGTGTTTGAAGCACTTGATCTCCCATTTAACTGCTTATCGAAATTTACAGATGAAGCGACTAAAAGAGACGTCATTTCTGTTATGTTATCTAAACTCAATAGCATTTCCAATCAAATGGCGACAAAAGACGATATCCAAAAGATAGAAGGAGACATAAGCAGTATTAAGGACAGATTGTCTTCTACAGAATCAAATGTGAAGAGACTTTTAGAGAGAAATATTGAGGAAACAAATTCCGTATAAAAGTGAAGCTTTGAATTGTTTTTATTTGAATTCATTTGGTTTTGAGTCTTAAATAATCGCTTAAATGTTAAATTCAACTCAAATTCATTCTGAATGAACGAATACACGTACATGTACAGTGCATCTCACATGTAATCAATATTATCAGGAGCACAATTTCTATGAAATGTAATGGACCTCGGGCTTTATTGAATGATTTATTGTAAAATGCATTACAATCTGCAAGTCTGTTGTATTTTTTTTTGGGGGGGGGTCCCTATAATTATAACTTACCCAAGTAAGTTACTGTATACTTAGACAAATAATAATGTTAACTATACCTTAAGTTTACCTTATAAATAATAAAATATATACAATCTTAACTGCTTATATATCCCACATTGAAAAAGGAAAATAAATGTTTAAAAAATTGTTTTACATGTGTTAGATACGTCTATATTTTGAGTGAAAAAGCATTACGAAAAATGATTCACAATCCCAATTCAGGGTCACATGACTTTTTTCACAATATTTTAGATGTATCGATCCATTAATCCATTGAAAGTTAATTGTCATCATCTTAGTATGATCCTTGTTTTTAACAAGATGATAATGTTACTGCATCGTTCATATATCATTTGACAGTATAGCATTTTTAAAATTACAAAAAAATAAGGTTAAGATGTGCGAGTGCTTGAATTTCCTTATAAGTAGCCTGTAATGTCTTTCATTTCAGATATAACACATTAAAAGCACGCACATTAGATATTATATAAAACTCAACTTTTATCTATTTTTACCATTTACACCTTATAAAAATATTCAATATTTAATGTGAATCATAGTTCATTAATAAATCATACATCAAGAATTGTTTTGCATTTTCAAAGTTAATTTTTCTAAATATATATTGTAAAAAAAAATGTATGACATAAGAAAACAACAACACTTAAACTTAAAAGTCCATTGAAATAAAGCAACTCGGAAGCAGAGCAAACAAAGACTTCTAAAAAACCAAAGATGGTTTCAGGTGGCATGGGCGAGTAAGCATCCCCTGTCAACAGATCACAAAAACTCTGACTTCGTATAAAATTTGGTAAACAAATAATCTATAGAAAAATAATTGCTAACAATTGGCACGAACATAGGTCAACAGGTCAACACTTTACTAAATGAGAGGTTTTATTAGCTAAAACGATGACAGTGTGCACCAAATGATTTGCTAAGTTGTCGACCTTTCAACGAGACCCTTTACATTGACAGAAATATCTACTTAACTTAATTAACTAGTGTGCCTCGTGAAGCATTCGCCGTGATGAGTAATTTTTTTTAACAGGCTATGGTAGTGAGTAGTAGGTGTCCTATTGATCGGGGGTCGTTCAGTACATGGAGAAGGTTACACTTGTACTTATAATTTGATTCTAGATTAAGTAATGTTATCTTATTGTAAATATACCCAATATCTGGTAAAAACTAATTATAAGGTAGTGATTGTATGGACAGTAAACTTACTAGTCTTCTAAGTTACGTTTACTTTTTATTTTTATCAGTGCATTTATATCTTTGTTTCAACAGCATATTTATCAAAATTTTCTCGCGTTTCAGAAATTAAACGTACATGTACTTTGAGTATATCCCCTTATAAAAAAAAATTACAGTAATTCCATTGAAATTGCATGTAGAATCCTTTTTTCAAGCTCACTGGGATAAATCGAGTCGACATATGAATGAAAAAAAAAACTACTGCTTATCGATGATACACCGTCTATATATCTAATTGTCGAGCTGAAGGCCAAAGGATGTGTTTTCTTCTTCTGTATATGATTTCATTAAAATAAATTCTGTTTCATATGAATACAGTAGACAAAATTGCTAACGCACAACTTTTTAATTCTAAGAACTTGTGGATTGAGCATTTGCCGAATCTGTGCTAGTGTATATAACATTCCATTATTTCCAAAACAGTTGGATTGACAAATGTCTTTGTATCATGAATATACCCTTGAATGACCTTCGTGTCCAAAAAGCAATTTCCAGCTGCGCACTGCGCACCATTTTTGCCCAGATAGGAAATTCTTGATCACTTTATGTGGTTTTTGAGGTAGCGACAGGATTATTCCCTTAGTTATAAATTAAATAACAAACACTCATTGACTCTCATATCGCTTAGTAATCATCCGGTGCTTTATGTCCATACCAAAATCCACTCAACTTTCGGTTGACGTAGTTTTGTAGAACGATTTTCAACTTATTGTATGCTGCTAACTTAAAGCTGTGGCTGTCAGTAGTAAACATTTTTATGTTAATCTATTTACAACAAATTTTCATGATTGAAATTTATAAGCATTTTATTGTTTTCATTTTTTACAGATTACCCGATTATTATTATTATTATAATTAAACATTTATAAAACGCCCTATGTATAGAACTCTAAGGCGCTGTACAAGCATTATATGTAAAAAAAATAAAACTTTAAAGCCATATATGGCGTATGTACAATGAAAATTATGAGACTAAAATTATAAGAACTTATTATTTGTATCATTACTTTATATAAAGATAGAACTTTTCCCTAAATTACAAAATCTGAGTCAATTGCGTTATAAAGATATCACAATTTAATTTGGATTCTCGGAATTTTCTCCGACTCGGAAGAAAATACAAAAGATTTAAATAACACATTACAGAGAAGATAAATTTATTAGTTGAAACGAGGTGTTCTCCGTGTTCAGAATTATATGAAAAGTTTTAATTTAAATGTATTAACTATATTTCTTAACTTAATTTGGTATTTTTCAAAAATATATTTTTTTGATCAGTTACGCCATATATGGCTTTAAAAAAATTACAGCAGTCATATTCGAAAATTATAAGATAAATATATAAAAATTTAAAAGTGTCCATCCATAAAAGTACTAAAAAGATTATAAAATTTTTAAATGTTGTGTCCAGATGTTGTGTCCTATTGAAAGGCTTAGATACACAATTTATAAGTCCTATACCTTTTTAAAAAGAAAGGTTTTAAGTTTTTTTTAATTAAAAATTCCAATTGAGTCACACTTTCTTAAATACAAAGGCAGGGAGTTCCACAAAGTAGACGCCGCTTTGTCAAATCGTCTATTCCAATATATCACAGTTCTTGTTGACGGAACCACTAAAAGATTTGCTGATTCTGAGCGTAGGGTACGTGAAGGTATGTACGGTTCGATTAGTTCGCTAATATATGTTGGGGCTTGTCCGTGGAATGCTTTGAATGCATAAACAAGAGTCTTGAATTGGCAACGAAACTCTACCGGCAGCCAGTGTATATTGATCAGAACAGGAGATATATGGTCATATTTCGACTTCGATAGTGTTATTATGCGCGCAGCCGTAGTTTGTATACGTTGAAGCTTGTCTGTAAGTTGTTTGTTAATTTCAACAAGTAAAGCATTTCCAGACGGGATGCCACTTATGCATTAACAAGCGATCTGCCATGCATCTTCAGTGATGTAGTTCCTAATAAGTCCGATGTTTTGTAGGTGGAAATAACATGATTTAGATAATACATTGCATTGTTTTTCCATTGATAATGAAGATGTCAAAATATGTCCCAAGATTTTTAACAAAAGGGGTATTTTGGATGATATTATTTCCAAATGAAAGACTGAAAGCTTCAATATCAACTGATCTGGTCTTAGGTGCAAAAATCATAAGTTCCGTTTTCCTGGTTTAGTTTAAGCAAGTTTGCACTCATCCAGTTTTGTATGTCATTTAGGCATGCAGTTAATTAGCCGAACGGAGATGTTATACCAATTATCCCGGGGTTCAATCATGATGAAAATCTGTGTGTCGTTTGCATAGCAGTGGTAGTTCATATTGTTTCTTTAGCAAATTTCCCCAATTGGTTTTGCGAACAAGCAGTAGATCCTGGGGCCAAGTACAGAACCCTGGGGAACGCTAATCTTGAGAAAGTTTGGTCCCGATAGTGTTGATCTAATCGACATCCGTTGTGATATATCCCTTAGGTATGATTGTAGCTACTGAAGGGCTGAACCACCTATCCCGTAGGAGTATCCTAGTCGATGGAAACGTATATCGTGGTCAATGACATCAAATGCCGCGGACAAATCAAGCATCAGCAGCACAGCACAACATTCTTTGTGAGGAGATACCGCAATATCGTGATGAACAAGAAGGAATGAACCGCACGACATACTGACTGAAGATTGTCATGTAGAGTGTTCGAACTGAGATGATCTTCGATTCTTTTTGCGACGACTTTTTCAATAATTTTTGAAACGTATGATAAGTTTGAAACCGGCCTATACTTCCTCAGACACTCTTTATCCAGAGACGGTTTCTTTAGAAGCGGCTTAACTATTGCTTGTTTAAAATCATCTGGAAACACACCTTCGGTAGGTGATTTGTTAACAAGACACGTGATAATTGGTAGAACATTTTCAAAACATGTTTCCAAGATAGTCGTAGGCATTGGATCCAATTCGCAGAACTTAAGGACAGTTTTCAAAACAATTTTTGAGACTTCATCGGGAGAGGCTCTTGTAAATTCCCGAAGCAGGGTCCCCACGAAACGTTTGTCAGCCCATAGCGCATCTAGTATTTCGTAATGTTCGTTGTTATTTTGTACAAGCGTCGTTCCAATTCCAGGAATTTTTGCCTCGAAAAAATCGGCAAATTTACCTGACAGATTTGATTCATTGTCACAAGCTGGTTAAACAACTTCTGATTTATTCCCAGTTAATTGGTTTGCAATGCTGAATAATTGTTTTGAATCTTTTGCGGACTCTATTACTTTGAAGGAAAAATAGTCCCTTTTGCTTTGCGTAACAAAAGCGCTGTATTGTGAACTCTTGTCTTTGAATATCTCCTTATGCACCGCCAAACAAGGAAGTCTCAATGTGCGTTCCCCTTTGCGTTTTTCACGTTTTGCCTGTAGCATTTCGTTTGAATACCATTCAGTATTCGGGCGCAAAACAATATTTTGGGTGCGAAGGGGAGGGGAGGGCTTTTTCTCAAC